ATATATATATATATATATTTTTAAGATAACAAAATAGATTAGCCCAGTTCATTTAAATTTGACTTGTAATTAGCTCATCAAAAATGGATTGGGCTGCCAACTTGCTAAATAAAAAGGAGTTAGACGTCTGAGTTGGTAGGTTAATGGATCAACTGGTCAAGAAAATTTAAAAAATTACATATTTATTTTGAATATTTTTTTAACATGTTTTTTTCTTTATATGTAAAGAATTAACATAAATTATTGTATTAAATAAATTTTAAAATACAACAAATTTTATTTCATTTGTTGTACTAGAAATTTAAAATTTGTTGCATATTAAAATAAATATGTAATTATAATAGTTCTTCCAATAAATTTGTTGCACAACAAATATCAAATTACATATAATAAAATAAATAAAATTTATAATAAATTTATTGCACAATAGATCATAATAACACATGTAACTTAATTAAACTTAACATTAAAGATAATAAATAAAAGTTAGACGTGAGTTAGATATGACAGACTAGGCTAGGCATGTTAAGTTGCCTAACTCAACCCACTAACTTTTAGTGAATTAAATTTTGTTTTGTTATCCACACACTTCTTATCCCAATTTTGTTTGCGAGATTTTTTTAAAGATAATTAAGTTATTTTATTTTAAAATGTTTTAATCTAATTTCTTTTATTTAAAATTCTTAAATTCTCATTTTTTACCAATTTTTTTACAAATTGAATGATTATATTGTCTTAAAGCTTCTTTCATGGAAGTGCAAGAAAAAAGTGACTTAGGATTTAGAATCATATAAAAGAGAGTTTTTAATTGAAGGTTTTTAATTTGGATTCTTAAAATTTAATTGGAGGAAGTTTTATTCTAAAACTTATGAAATAGTTTTCCAATTTCATTCATAAGATTTAAAGGAAAGATTTATATATATATATATATATATATATAATATTTTAATATAACAAATATTTTTATAGATGAACATGATAAATTAAATTATATTAAATAAAATTTGTGTGATTTAAATTTTTTTATAATATTGATTTATTTGTGTTATAAAAGAGAGAGTATTTTTTTTCCTTTAACGGTGGAGATGGCGGAGGGTGGAGATGGCGGAGGGGACGGGAGGTGGAGGTGGTAGGTCAGATGAGGTGTGAATGTACATCCAATTGAAAAAGACGTAAATGTTTGATGACCCACATCCATCACCATCACCTGCAAACATTTTTTAATTTATATATACTATTTTTTTATGTATTCCATTTCATCTATAGTTACTTCAATTTGAATCATGCCACTGTGAGCCGTGTCATCAAAACATCACTCATCCAATTTATATAGCCATTGCCATTGACACATGTCACAACAAGTCAAGAACATCAAAAATGTCATCGGTTATTTTCCCAGTTTATTCAACAATATGTAGTGCAACAACATTATTTTTTATTCTTAAGAATGATTTCGTTCGCAAAAAAAAAAAAAAAAAAGAACTCCATTTTATGTTGAAATCAGGTCAACCTCCTTCAACCTTGAATTTGGGTAAGAACGATTGTAAGATTCTGAGAAGCAACAGTTTTTGTAATCGTGATTCTGGCGTCTCTTAGTAGTTTCCATATTTTCCCACTGTTTTTCTATGTAAAGAAGTGTTTTCATACATTAATTTATCAAATTATTTATGAAAGTTATTTAAAAAAATGTTGAAAATAATTACATATATGGAAAAATTCTCTTCAACCACTTTAGGTTGGGTTATGGACTTATGGTCAATGGAATTTAGCCTTTTTTTCTCCCATGAAAATGAAATCGTGGGACTTGGAAGACTGGGAACACAAATAACAACTTGGAAGCAACTTGGAAGCAGCATACAAAGATGAACATCAATCAATGTCACAGTAATAGTTAATTTAATTTGGATCATTGTTATTATAAGTGCAAGAAGTTTTAATATTGAGACTTTAATTCTCAATGTCGTTAACAACGTGACAATTTTTAATTAAATAATGTTAACTTATGCCAACAATTGACGTTACAATTTAAACATGCGTAAAAGAAAATAGATGCGAGCGAGTACTCATTACTAGCAATAAAACAGAGGGGAACGCGTACGTGTCACTCAATGGCTTTTGCTTATCATCTTCCTTCCAGGACCGGACACTGGACCGGATTTATCAGACCGGACACACGAAACTACTCTCTTTAATTTCTCTTGCAATGAAGCTTCATTTTTTTTTTCTTTTATTAAAATCTCCTATTTGTATTTTTATGAAATTCATTCCTCTGCTACTATTCACTCTTTATTGATAAAGACACTGGAACGATAAAAAAAAAACTTGATTAGTGAGTATTTCTTCATAAAGATTTTCTGATATTTAGGAAGTAGTTGAATAATTTTGATTGGATGGAATTATTTGTACTAGTCTTTTAAGTTGAATTTTTGCTAATGTCACTAATGTGTTATTTGAGAGCTTATTTGTTAAGATTGGAAGTGTCATCCTCATCCCTCATATTGTTACCCACACAAAAAAAATAAGACTAAACAAAACTATTGACCTGCTAAATAAGATTACATGAGATTAAATGGACAAATGTTAATATTGATTCATTGAGAATCAATGAGAACTATTTTAAGTCAACATATTATAAAATTGTCATCATCTTGAATACAGTGAATTACTGAAAAAAAAAAATATTTTCTTGTTCTTTCTATTCATTCGAAAACAAACTATGGTCTCATTAAAAACTCTAGAAATTTAGTTGTAAGCTTATACCATAAATTGAATATGGATACAAATATTTATTAAAAGACTTAATAATCAAAACATATACTAAATTCTAGTACTTTATGATAAATTGTTCTGGGATATAATATGAAAAATTTAAAGTTTAATAAAAAATATTGAAATGAAGATTAAAATTTCTATAAAAAATGAATATGTTGAAAACACCAAAAGATGTGAAATTGGAAGGGGAGAGTTGTTGTCTTCTTGTTTTTAGTTTTTATAAAATTCCATTCTTTTATAATATAAAAAACAAAAACAAAAAATGTTTAGAAAAATAACAGCAAAAAAACTATTTTTAATATAAATTTTAGTTGTTTGTTCGTATAATTTTTTTAGTTCCCTTTTTCTACTCTTTTGAATAATTTGAGAGAATTTTTTACATTTGTTTCCTTTTTATTTTTATCCATCTAAATAACATTTTTTTATTATAATCTTCTTATTTTTATTTCACTTTTAATAAAATACAATAATATAATTATTATTTTTATATAAAAAAAACATGTTTTTAATTTTCATTACTCTAGTGTGGAATTTTTTACATCATTAATTAATTAGCCCAATTTCTTTAAAAGCTGCAATAATATGTGCATTAGGGTAAATATTTTTATTTGGAATCTGATTTAAGTGTTATTTATGACTTTTCTGTTTTCTGACAAAAATATTTAATTTTTTTATAGTTTCTAGATGAACTTTAGATTTCTTGTAAAAAATATGAACTTTAAATTTAGAAGTAATCCCTCTTATTATCCACAAGTCTAACTGGGTCCATACTCCATACGAAGAGAAATGTTGTGGCATCAAATATTAATATTAATTAATAATAAGAAAAATATTCCACAAATAAAGTGAAATAATTTAAACGACGAGACGACCCACGGTCTTCATCAGTTCCTTGATTCTTTTTTGTTCAATCTTTGTTGGATTCTACTCTATTCACTTCGTTTCTTTCTCTTTCCTTTCATTTTATTTTTATTTTTTTCTCCTTATGCTTTTCTTATTGTTTTTTCCTCATTTTGCGCTTGTGATCCTTGTAACTAGCTATAATGCAAGCAGCTCAAGCTTCAGCCACTGATGCAGCCCCCGAGATTTCCCATCAGGTTCGCTTTTCCATCTTAAATATGTCAAGTTCTTTTCTTTTCCACTTTATTTTTCCCCCTTTGCCTTACCCATTTTCGTTTTTCAACTCTTTCTTTTTAACCCCTTTTCCTTTGATTCGTTCAATAAACCCTCTGTTCATGGGCATGCAGTGTCTGATACTTGATTTTTTTAACACCCTTTTGTGGCTTTCATCCAATTCGTATTGAGGGGTTTCTAATTTTAGCTTCTTCTGTGTCTACTACTCAAGACTGTTCCTGAAAGCCCACGTTTTTAATTGTGTCAAAGTTTCAATATTTAGGATGTTGGGTCGGGGTATGAGTCTTCTCTTCCCTCCTACCTGTGGCTTTATGAGGTGAATTGAACATGAATTCAGGTTTAACTGGCTAACTTACCTGATGGGAGCGTATCAATATGCATGTGTGTCTAGCAAACTTTCAATTATGAGAGGGTAAGAGGAGAAGACGAGGGAAAAGCCCATGCATGTCATTGCTTTATAAGGCAGAGATAATTTAGCCACGAGCCGGTGGTGAGAAAATTTTGATTTTGGTTTGTAGGTGTTGCAAATGTAGGGGTTTGTGTAGGTCCTTGAAGTTGATGCTTCAGTTATGTGCATGATAATGTAGTTTGTAAAAAGGGTTCTGGATATGTCCTTTTTCTTCTTGACTTATGTGGCATCTTGCTGTGTTTTGTTTTAACAGCTGTTGTAGGGAAATTTGG